TGAACCGCGGTCGACTACGTGGGAGTCCAGCGACATAGCCATTACGCTAACTGCTGGTTCCCATACAACGTTTTCAGATGAGGAGGTCGAGGCATGAAGTTGACAGGACCTGCCTAACATAGCGTAAGCAGACATGGCAGAGCCAGGACTCAGCCCAGGCCTGACCGCGGCAACCTCCGTGGTTGTGGGATGACGGTCTCTCTTTCCCAACTCCGATCGCAAGTCACGTGTTTCCTGCCAGCCACCTCTGCTGCCACGTCCTTGTTCTCAGTGGTGGCTGTGTCGGGCCCAGACTTCCCGGTGTGGCCTGAGCAGCGCTGAGCCTCTGCCTCCTTCCTAACGGTGACTTTGTGTGACCCTTGTTTTTGCAGAATTTCGCTAAAGAGTTTGTGATCAGCGATCGGAAGGAGCTGGAGGAAGATTTCATCAAGAGTGAGCTGAAGAAGGCAGGGGGAGCCAATTACGACGCCCAGACGGAGTAACCCCGCTGCCCCCGCCCCTGCCAAAGCCATCTGCCTGCTCCCCGGGGGAGGGGACCCGGCCTCAGCCACCAGCCCACCCGCCCACCAGGGAGAGGAGAAGGGATGAGAGGCAACACCCACTCCCCGCATCTGCAGCCCCGACTCCCTCCTTCCCTCAGGCCTGCTGTGTCCCGTCTCACGGAGCTCATGGGCCATCTTTCTTTGATCCTTTTCTTTCCATCCCTTTTTTGTTCTAAAGAAAAATCATTTTGATGCCCAGGTCATGCGCGTCATTAGAGCTGAGGGGCCTCGCGCGGCGACACCTTTCCTCGCATTTCTCTCCTGCTCGGTGTGGCCTGCCTAGACCATCCCCCATGGCCTCCCGCTGCTTGCAGAGCCTGGGCTGGTGCCGCTGTCTTGATTTTCTCTGGCATGCCCTCCACTTGCCACTCGGGCAGCCATGCCGCTAGCCGGGCCCATAAACGGCACCCTCACAAGCACACGCGCTCATCCGGGAGTCTGCAGGCCCCTGCCCCAGCCCCACTCGATGTGCCTAAGCCGCACGTCCAACCGAGACAGCATTGCTCGGGCGAAACCTTCAGGTCTGGCTCAGACTGAATCAGAAAAGAGACAATTTGCCTTAAAACTTGCCTGGCAGTGGCTTTGCCACATGATCTGAAATCCCTTGTTCCCGCCTTCTGGCTGAAATCTCTTGGCATGGACAGGCGACAAAGGTCTGAGTCCAGATTTGATGGGAGCAGGGCTCCAGAGTTAGCTTCACGGGCTCCCAGAGTGACAGGGCATTAGGGAGCCAGGCGCAGGTGGGGAACGAGGACTGCAGTCGAACTGGGAGCCGGCTCTTCACTTCCAGAAGGGTCCCGGGCAGACAGTGAGAGTGTAGCCAGGCGGCCTGGCCTGCTGCCTGGTGGCCCGGCCTGCTGCCCCGCTGTGTGCCAGGCAGGCACACTGGCTCTCGGCTCTCGCGGTGACCGGAAAGTCTGCAGTTTCCACCTTGGGTTTGTGCACCAATCTGAAAGGATCATTTTGCTTTGTTTTTCAAGAAAGATGAGCTCGGCCTGGTTCTTGATGAGCACGTTTTGTACCGTTCTTTCCCTTTCCTTGCTCGTTCCATTTCGAGGAAGAAGCCGTGCTGTGTTGGGGTGTGAAGAACATCTCTGCGCTCAAACCGTTTACAGAAATAAATGTCTTTTGTTTAAAAAAAAAAAAAACTTGATTTTCTGATTTGTCTTGGGGCTTCCTTTTTAAAATGTCTTCTTCTTTTTTAAGCCCGATAGTGCATTCACTTTCCACCGAGTCTCTTCCTTTACTATAAACAAAGCGGTTGTCATCACCGTCAGCTGTAATGGGCATTTCTGGCGCCGTAGGGGGCCAGGCACGTTCATATTTAGTAGCTTATTTGATTGTTAGTTTTTAATTGCCAGAAGGTACATGTGCTCTCCAGAGAGGGACCTGAAGGAAGAAAGCACCCCAGCGGGGCGTGGCCACACTGCAGTCTCTGTCCTGTCGAGCTCTGGGGCACGCACGTACACCCAGCATGCTTTTCAAGTTGCCAGTGCCGGGATTCGAACCACAGCTATGTGGGATCCACTGCCTTCACGGTGGTTATTAAGGCAACAGGCCGGTTATTTAATTAACCAGGAGGGACAGGTGCTGTTTTGTCCCATTGAGTGGAAGCTGAGGCTCAGAGAGGTTTGAACCGAGGTGTCCTAACGTGCCTGGTGCTGCAGCAGTAAAGACAGTGGGGGTCCTGGATCTGAGTGACGTGACAGCGAGGCGCAGCCGGCCCCTCCGCTCGGGCACTTCAGGTAAAGCCAAGAGAAGGCACATGCCTGGCGTGGCGGCCACACCCTTTCCGCTGTGCTGCTGAGAGACGACTCCAGCTCACTGTTCTGCGGGGCTCCGACCCAGGCCAGCGCGGCAGCCGGCGGGGAGGGGCGCAGTGCGCGGAGCAGGAAGGGGTCCTCCCGGGTGTGTCCGGCCACACCGGGCGGAAGGTCACTGCCATGCCCAATCCCAGCCTGCTCACCTGCACAGCTGTGTGGCTTTCGGCCAGGTAGTTAACCTCTCTGAACCACGGTTTTCTGTCTGCAAAATGGGCAGTGACCTCGCTTAGTGCGTGGGATCGCCGAGGGAACAACCGTGACGGCGCGGTGAGACGTTCCGACCACGTCTCGCCAGCCCGGGCCTCCTCAGCTCTGTGGACTGGAGTTCTCTACGAACAGCGTGGGGCTGAGCTGACAGCTTCCAGCTGTGGGTAGAGCTCGGCTCGGGCTCCCTCTCCCGGGCGGCCCCTCTCGGGCTTGCTCACTCTCACCCCGGGGACCCCTCTCAGGCTCTCTTGCTCAGTCCGGCCCTCCTAGGCCTTTTATTCTCCCCTGAGAACCTGACACGCCCCGTCTCCTGCGCTCCACCCCCGGCTCTGCTCTGTCTGTCGGAGACAGATGAGAAAGAATAAGGGGCTCGTTCAAACCAGCCCCCAGATGAGCCCTCTGCCTGGGGTCTCACCCCTGGCCATGGATTAGGGCCCCTGGAAGCTTTGAATGTACAGATGAGGCCTCCCAAACCCTTAAATTGGAGTCCTGGACTCACATTTGCCACCCAAGGAGCCCCTCCAGGCAGGTAGGCTGCAGGGGAGGCCCGCACCTGCCTGCAGAGGTGGCAGAGGGACAGGGCAGTGTGGACACAGCTGTGTGGGCACGTTTGCCCAGTGGGGGGCTGGCCCCGGGTCCGATGCAGCCTGCTCATATAGCAAAGGGCTCGGGTTTAACCTGGAAACTGCGCCTGGGCCTTGCCTGGGGTCTGACGGGGTTGTGAGGCCTTTGGAGGCAGGGGCCTTGCCTCCATCTTCCCCAGCGTCAGCGCCCCGCAGGTGCCTGGCGGTGCTGCCAGAGCGGCCCTACCTGCTGTCCTCGTCTGTGGCCTGGCTGGGCTGCTCCCGCCTCTCCCAGGCCAGATGGAGATG